TCGCGATTTCAAAAAAAGTGTTCGGCAAAACCCCCCAAAATGTTCGAACGTGTGATTTTCTCGAAAAATGAACTTTGAAAAACGTTTAGGGCTTGTTAGAAAGAGCAAATTCTGTACTTTCACCCTATGAAAAAAGTGCATCACAGAAATGAAAATGAAGTGAGTTATGCCCGCTTAAAGCCCAAAAACTCGCGATTTCAAAAAAAGTGTTCGGCAAAACCCCCCAAAATGTTCGAACGTGTGATTTTCTCGAAAAATGAACTTTGAAAAACGTTTGGGGCTTGTTAGAAAGAGCAAATCCTGTACTTTCACCCCATGAAAAAAGTGCATCACAGAAATGAAAATGAAGTGAGTTATGGTCGCTGAAAGCCCAAAAACTCGCTTTTGCACGAAAAATGTTCGAACGGGACAATTTTTTGAAAAAGGGGACAATCACTAAACTTTTATACTGTTTTGTTAGAGAAATATTTGAAGTTTCTGAAACTTTTTACAGATTTCCAAAATGTCGCATACGAAAGATTTTATGGGCCTTCAAAGTTGAAGGTGCGCCTTCTTAGAATTTTGGGTTTTCCACTTCTAACAGAAGTACTTTCCGGAGAGTTAGGCAATCCTTGTAGTTTTCTGAAAGCGCACCTCAGGCACAATCAAAATCTACCTCAACAAGTCAAAAAAATACGTCCCAAGAAAGTTATTCCCTCTAAAATTTTTTCTTCGCCGCGTCCCGTTCTTCCAGCGCCCGGGTGATACCTGCCGCGCTCCAAGGCCGACGCGACGACGCGCAGACGCTTTCTGGCGCAACGGATTCATGTCTAGCACTCTTATTAACAAAAACAGGGGGTCGCAACTGGACCCCCTCGAGAGCTAGGGGGTCGCAAAAATCCCGAAAATGTTCGAACGTGACGGTTGACCCTGCCCACAAGACTTCTGGAACCAAGTTAAGGGGACCTACAGGAAACGTTGTACACTTCAAGACGCTCCGCCCATTGTGGGCAGAGTTCCGCCGACGTCATTTGTGTTGGGAACACCTCAGACATTGCTCCCCTACACTATTTTTTCTGCTTTGTAGGCTTCTCTCCAAACCGAGTTATGAAATTTTTCATAAAGCTCTGCTTTTTACGCTTTTTGGTGTGGGTCTTTCTTATGCGATCTGGCTTACCACTGCACACCCTTACTCACTTTTTTCAGTCCCGAAGCTGTTTTGTAATTGAATTCGAAATCTTGGTCGTCAGTACAGCTCATTTCGATGCACGACGCGCCCACGTGGACGCGACCCCGCAAGGCTAATGTATGTTTTGTACTTTTCGAGACCTGGCCCATCCATTCCACACTTGACCCGGTTTCTTCAGGCGGATCCCCAGGAGCTAGGGTATTTTGTGACAACAGAACGGCAGAGACAGGCGGACAGACGAAGTGCTTTATAGACAGTAGCATGCTTCTTCGACAACTCCACCCACTTCGATCATGCCCCGCACACCAGGGGGCGGTCGATCACCTAATCTTTGCCAACCACTATTCAAATTTTCCCGTTCGCAGGGAATTCTTAGTATCGATGTTTCCCTACTTTGGTGCAAGCCTCGTATGCCGAGGGCAAACGACCTCCTTTCCTTCGCCGACCTCTACCCACTTTTTCCCGGTCTCTGGGACTCTTGGAACCAAATTACGACACTTTTGGCAAACTCCGCCCACTTAGGTGCGTGCTCCGCCCACTAATAGCAGTTGGACCTCCTTTTTCCCGGCCTCTGAGACTTCTTGGGACCGATTCATGAGACGTCATGGCACCAGCATCCGCCCACTTCAGCGCGCGCCACGCCCATCGGTAGTGGGTGACTCCTGTTCCTTTGCTAGACTAAATAAAATTTTTCCTGGTTTCTAGGTTTCTTGGATCCTAGTTATAGACTCGAAGGCGTCCACGTTGACGCCACGCTCAACATCAACATTTTCCCTCCTTTTTTGTACCTTAACCTTTTTGTAACTTTAACTTTTTCCCAGGTTTCTGAGACTTTTTAGAAGAGGCGAATCATGAGGATTTGTAATATGCAAAACCTACATAAAACGCGCTCCGTCTACTGTGAGCGTGCTTCTGTTAGCCACAGATGCGCTTAGAACATATGAGATTTTGCTCTTCTGAACCTCTCTCTCTTCTTGCTCGATAGGCTTTCTCCTAACCGAGTTATAAATTTTTTCACTAGGTTTCGCACATTCGGAGCACTCTCCGCCCACAGTGAGCAGGCCTCCCTAATCGTACTTATCACTCAGATTTGATCCAAACTCTGCAGGTGGCCTTCAGGTAATGCGAATTTCCGTGACAAGCGGACAAATAGACAAATAGACAGACTTTGCGCATTATATGTGTACCAGATTGGTCCCCCGGCAACCGCCGGAACCTCCCTTCCCTGCGTAAGCTTTGCGTTCCTCCTCCTCTCCTTATCCTCCCCTCCTCCCTCCACTGCTCTCCAGCTGCCACTGCAGCACCTTGTGGAATGACCGAAAGTGTGCTAAGTAGGTGTTTATATAGCCGTTGGGGTGTTATCACAATCATGCCATTGCAAAACATTGATAAGGTGAGCCTTGTAAGCTAGGTTTGTTAGCGATTCCATTAGCTGTCTTATCACTCACTTCATTCTGCGGACGGATAGAACGACATACAGACCGACAAACCGACACACCCAAGCTGTGTTTTATATTATGAAGTGACAGTAGGGATAAGAGCTATGCAGCATCTTTCAGTGAGCGGGGAGTGATTGGAAAGGTTAATAAGAGGGGAGTGCGCCTCATCAATGGAACATTAATCACAATGAACGTCAACCAGAAGTAACGTAAGAATATGCTTTGTGATCATTTCTACATTCTCACTATATATTTTCTTGGGCCAACAAGGGTTTTTGAAGGCCATTCCTTGGTTTCATGACTACCAAGCGTTTTTACTTCCAGCCTTGTGTTCAAAGTACATGTGTCTTCTATGGAATCAAAGGGATGGGCTTTCATTGCGAATTTTCAGAATTGAATTTTGACACGTAGTACATAAATGAGAATGGCTATAAATTACAGTTGGTATGTAACATCTACCGACTCTGTTTCATTCATATGGACAAGAAAATAGGCGTGCTTGTTTCATTGATAAGTCTATTTCATCCTCTTCCCTTGGTTTCTTCCTCCTAATTTCCAGAATCTCTCTTTAGTGACGGAGCGCGCTTTTCTGGCATATTGACGTCACTTCTGCGAATGAATGCCCAATTGTTATGGGCCTCAACTATTTCGAATCAACATCCACTTAACGCTTCTTGAGTGGCAGTGAAGACGTTGTACAGGCAGGTCAACGATGTGGCCATTCCTTGCAAAACTGTTACTATTCAAGCCGACATAATCGTACCATCAAGAACGAGCTTTATTAGTCCATCAACGACTGCAATCCAAGCGTCGCTGAAGCCTTCACTTAACCACTACTTGCTGGTTAGAATGTATGGATATGCTCACTTAATTTTCCTACGTTTATATGCCATATTCATGAAGTTATCGTTAACGGGTCACCATTTATGTGCTTGTTCTTCTTTTCTTTTTTTTCTGCAAATCACTCAAATACCACTAGTTCTCCAACGTCGATCAACTTAGTCTTCTTTCCCTCTTATAGTATTCAACGTACAGTTTGAACATTCACTCCAAAGTCACCTATTGTAATTCTATGCCATCCAAGCTACCTACTGCACAAACACTAGTACTTCCACTTTCTCAAGCATTTTAAGAACATTTGTTTATTGTTTCTAAACAATACCACCCTGTATTATCCTTTGTGTCAAACTGTAACTCGCCACCTTGGTGTGCTTGGTCGGTATGTAAATATGTTGGTGTGTTTAAAGGTATCGTAGGGTATGGTTAATTTACTCAAACTGTTATACGTACTGACACCCACTGTGCACACGACCGGCCGCTCTACATAGAGCTGCAGAAGAGAGCGGTTCGCGAGAGGCGAATGGAGGGGTGATGGATTAGAGCAAATCAACCGCCAACTGACCGCTGAGTGAGAGTTGAAATTTTGATGTAAAGCGATGTTATATTGTGAAAAGACCCTCTGTTGTACAGTGCCTATTTTGAACACCCTCCACGAGATGCTGATCCTAGAAGCGGAAGTGGGCGTAGCGTAGCGTGCGAATAGTAAAGCATGCTCATGACAAAGGAGTTACAGCGATTGCACGAGAGTGAACGGGTGCGATGTCTCCGCAAGGTCAGACGACTCTCACATGCGCTAACGAACGGGGGCATGGTTCTGAATAGAGAGCGGTCGTGCCTTTCTCGTTTCGTCTGCTTTGCCACTTTGTTCGAACCACCGTAGGTCCATGTAGCTAATCTGAATTTTCAGTGATGTCAAAAAGCGCTTTCGTCATAGGTGGAACAGGTGCCGTAGGCAGGCAACTCATTGATGCACTCGTTTCAACACATCGCTTTAGAAGAATTGTTCTTATTGGTAGAAGGAGGATCCCACTGGACTACGACATCATTGTAAGTACTAATGTATGTAAGTTTTTCGTTTGAATTGTCCATTTTTTGTACATTCCATTCACAGGAATGAAACTGAGCCATTTTTCGATAATTTCTTAACGAATATAACATTATGCGTCCAACGCAAAAAGATCTGCGGGACCAGGTCTGCTTTCACTCAGGAACAAGCGGTAGTCGATTTCGATGCTATTGAGAAGCGTGCCGATCTCTTCAATGATATCGATGTTGGATTCTGTGCTCTTGGTACAACTTACGCAAAATCGGCAGGAATAGGTTTTTCAAGAGTATGTTCTGACAAGCAGGTAAACCTGGCAATAGCATCCCAACTTGTTTGTTTTCTTAGCCCCACAGCAAGACATTGCCATTAGTTGGAATAGAGTTGAAAATCCGTAAATGCAGAGGTGGCGCAATTTCCACAACATCCATTTCTTTTTCTTCAATCAACAATCGTTGCTTCATGATTGAACTTCATGAGTGAGCTGCGAAGATTAAACTGGCGATAAGCTGATACAGGTAAAATGTAGTGAAAAATAAGAAAAATAAGAGCAATGAAACGAATAAAAATGCCTAATGGTGCGCTTGTAAAAAAAACAAACAAATTGGCCAAAAACTTGAGAATTAGCAAGCTCTTCTCCTCTGTTGTTTTCACATGACCCAGTTTGCCAGGCGGTTTGCGCTCGCAATCACTTGACCTTTGTAATCATACCATCAGTAGTTCATATGCCATCGTTATAGCAATATACAGTCGCACGGTGCAGATGAAATCTATACGTGAAAACGAGTCAGAAAATAGTAAAATCTCAAAGGAGAGGCGACCTGGTATGAAAGGATTCGTCATTGAAAGTACGCCAGAAAAATCTCAGGAGGAGTTTTACGACGAGTTTTTGGAAAGAGAAATTTGAATTTCTCGCCGACCAACGCCTATCTGAGTAACCAGGGCCTGGTAAACCTTTAGCATCGATGGTAGATTCGCAAGACTGCGGCAGTTTATTAACACATTCACGACTGCGGCCCTTTTCACTTTCGGGCCGCGTGGGACGGACGCGCCGCCGCCTAACTTCACATCCGCGGATTTTGCAGTGTAAGTGATCAAAAACATGAATGTCATAAAATAATTTATATAGGTTGGAGCATAATATCGCGAATAGCGAAGCGCTCTATGCGAATCGCATGACAACTCGCCTTTTCTCTCATTGATAGCGGCTTAAATATATGAGTCATTATTTATAAGCTATGGATGCGTATCATGTGAATAGGTACCTTCTAATATATATAAAGCTGTAATTTGGTCAGTGTGTGTCGGTTTGTGTATCTGTATGTGTTTGTGTATGTGATGTGTGTGTGTGTGTGTGTGTGTGTGTATGTATGTATGTGTGTCCGTCCGCAAAATGAAGTGAGTGAGAAGGAAGCTCATGGGATAAACAAACCGCTAACAAATCGGGTAGCTTACAGGATTTGAGATATCAATGTTTTGTAGCAGGATAGTTGTGATAACACTCTTAGGGCTATATAAACACCTGCTTAGCACACTTCCGTTCATTCCACATGGTGCTGCAGTGGCAGCTGGAGGGCAGTGGAGAGAGGAAGGGAGGATGAGGAAGGGAAGCGAAAAATCTACCGTCATATCATGATTGTGTCCCTTCTACTGTATGAAACACCATTGTGTTGCATACGCGTCACTTCCAGGAGGTGTTGGTGTCACAGGAGGAAGGGACCATAGCGGAGGATAGAAAGCTTGCGCAGGAAAGGAAGGTCCCGGCGGTTGACGGGGGACTAATCTGGTATCATAAAAACACCTAAAAACAAAAACCTATTCCATTCCGGTAACGCAAACAGTGACGATTACGCAAAATGAAGTTCTGAGAGAAAAAAATTCCCAAACGTAGACATATTTGCTTATTTGAGACGAAAATATATGCTAATTAGGTTCGTATACCACCAAGCCGATTAAAGAAACCACTTATTGAGGTGCCAGTGAGTAGTCTGCTTCGAACGGAAAAAATTTCTGTGAGTTCCATGGTTTTGCATTAACAACATTCGACTCAAGAGAAAATGTCTGCTCTACAAAAAAGTGTTTAGCTTTCATATTCGTTGCACAGTTTTTATGTTTAATGCTTGCGCAATGGTAAGTCCAGCAAAGCAGGGATAGCCGAGTGGTTAGACTCATGTCTGCACCTCGAAACCGCGAGTTCGATCCCTGCCGAGGTCAACCATGGCCTTGCAAAAATTGCAGAATTGGTTCTGATTCTAGTGTGACTTAGCGTCGGCCAACCTTGCACAGGCACGGCTGCATGAGTAGCTCCAGTACAGCAAATCATGTCTGAAGGTCGCACCAAAACGTTCAGCTCCTTAAAGGAATCTTGCGCGGAAAATTCTTGCACTCTTTCCTAACATGAATATGTCAGTTGTGATCACTGGAAATAGCACACAAAGTTTCACGCATGAAGATTCGGTTTCTGAAGAGAAACAAACGTACAAAAACTACACGTTATGGACCATCGAAGGACCAGGAGGCAGAGCCAGGCGAGGCATGGAAAGAAGACGGCGTTTGGCCGGCTACGTACCAGGCGACGCAATGAGAGAATCGGGTTAAAGCGCGCGATTTCGGAGAGTGGAGACAAATCGATCGATGGAATAGGATGGAGTAGAAGTGTAAGATGTGAATGCAACGAAGCAGAAGGCCAGAAAGAGCTTCTAGTGAATGCACTCCAAGAACCAAGTTTGAGCATCCCCGTCGCCAGCATTCGTGAAAGACGTCCGTGGGCAATTCGAACGCGTAGCAGCCTTTTCGAGTTTTCGAATTTCTAATCAAAACGAAAGCAATACTTCAGTTCTTTTCACTATTATCGTGGATAATGAGTCTCAAGCCAGTGATTTATGGCTGAAATAGAATCATGATTTTTCCGCGCAAGATTCCTTTAAGCAAGTGGACGTCATTGTGGGAGCGCAATAACTTCGTATAAGCCATAAGGCGTAGCAGATCTGCTTCAGACCATCTGCTTCGCAGTGAACAGGACTGGTAGCGATCGTGATTCATGGCTGTAGAGCGATAGATCAAAGTTAGGGGTACTGGACAAGCACGCCGCGGTAGGCATCATATGCCGGATGCCCCGAGAAGTGGATAAGACGAGTTCTATCGTAAGCCAACGAGCACCAGTAAAGCTCCGGCGATATGTGATTTAGCCTTACCATCAGCAGGTGATCTGAATGGCCACGTCGGCAGTGACAGAAGAGGCCGGGAAAGGGTGCACGGAGGTAGAGGGATAGGAGTGAGGAACGCCGAGGGAGAGAGGGTCCTGGACCTGGCTACGGCCCACGATCTGGCAATCTGCAGCACGTTCTTCGCGAAAAGGGAGACTCAGAAGGTAACCTACAGCAGTGGAGGAAGACAAACGGAAATCGACCATGTGCTGGTAAGAAGATCATCCCTCAAAACTGTGAAGGCTCAAATATTAAAGTACTCCCCGGCAAAAAACTGGCTCCTCAAGAAAGACCCCTCCTGGCATCACCATAAGCCTTCAGAAGAGGGTTAAGGTAAGAACTCAGCGGGGAATTCGGTGGTGAAGCTGCACCGATCGGAGAAGGAAGACCTCAAAGCCACGAGTCAGGATTAGGCAACCAGCAGAAGTTCTTCCCAGGGTGCGATAGTGGGCTCCCCAAGCACTGAGGCGCGACACTATCGCGACCCAAAAGTGCGCGGTAATGGCGCTAAGGCCTTGCTCGCCGCGCTGCCCGCGCTGCCAGCGTAATCCACCACGGCATACGTGGTCTCTGCGACTCTCACGTATGACGTACTATCTCGCGTTCTCCCTCTCCTCGCAGCGCTGTGTCTCTCCGTCGTACTACGGCCGGCCTCCTAAGGAAATTTAGTGTTTTCTATGGTGCTTTTTGCTTTTTTCTCCTCACTATTGTTCCTCATTGCACCTCTTGCCTAATCGTATCGAACAAAATAACGCATCAGTTCAATACGACTCGTTGCCTTTTAAACACAGAAGGGTCAGCTTGCAGCGCCTCCCGGATCCACAAGGACCAGTTCAGCCGACATGGAGCAATGCTAAGGTTATCCTGCGTGCGCCGAAGAGGTACTGGGCGAGACACAAGGAGGAATTAGTGGAGACAAGGCAGCGTGGTTCTGGAACGAGGAAGTCCAGCAAGTCGTGAGTGGGAAGAAGGAAGCATACAAGCGCTGGCAGAAGACACGCAGCGCTGAGGACGTGGCTACCTGCAAGAGTTCCAAGAGGCTTACCAAGACTATTGTCGCCAAAGCTAAGATTTTAGAGATGTACGCCTTGCACGAAAAGCTGGAGAGCAAAAATGCGGAAGTTTGTCTACAGACTGGCTGAAGCTCGGCACCGAGCTACCCAGGATATCGCATTGTGAAGAGCGTAAAGAACAACAACGGCACCATCCTTAGGAAACCAGCTGAGGTTAAGTGGAGGTGGGAAGAGTACCACAGTGCGCTACCAAATGAAGGGTTCCCTCACAAAGGTAACTCGCAAGTAGGGGCAACCGCCGGCCCCATCTCGCTGTAGACATCAGTCCTTCTATCGACTGTTAGAATTCAACCCTGCGTTGCGCAAATTCCAAAATTTTTACGACCCCCTTCCTTTTCGGAGGGTATCGGTACGACCCCCCCCATATTAACTATTATGTCTTTCACATAATTTAATGCTCATCAATGATGTGTGGCAGTCACCAACATGGAGAAGTGGTGGACCGTGGTCAATCCGCGCGCTCTGTCTCGCTCAGAGGAGGGAATCGAGGCAACATGAAGTTTTATTCATTAAATAGAAGGAATTTCCAAATTTTTGCGTAAACCAATACATGATTTAATCACAAAGATTTCTACTTTCAGAAACCTACCAAATTTTTTTCGATCTCTCAATTTTCCTTATTTTATAATCTGAAAAACTAAACCTTGTAGCAATTACGTTGCAATCCAAACCCCTCCATTCAGAAGGTTATATTTTTTTTCAGAAGCGGTCTCATGAAACCGGACACCAAAATTTTAAAAATCAAATAGTTTTCTTCCTGAGGAGTATTTGAAATGTTGTGGATGTTCAATATTTCAAAAAATCGTCCCGTTGTTCCGTTTTTTGTGCACACGCGAGTTTTCGACATTCAAACATTCATAACTTTCTTCATAATCAACTTTTTGCAGATGTCTAAGGCTAATTAGAAACTAGAAGATTAGCGCTTTCAAACAAGCACCTGAACTTTTTTCCAGCGATCACTCTCTCAAAAAATAGTCCCGTTGTTCCGTTTTGGGGGGTTTGTGGTCCGATTTTTGAGAAGGCGCGAGTTTTCGACATTCAAACGTTCATAACTTTCTTCATAATCAACTTTTTGCAGATGTCTAAGGCTAATTAGAAACTAGAAGATTAGAGCTTTCGAATAAGTGCTAAAACTTTTCAAATAATCACTCGCTCAAAAAATAGTCCCGTTGTTCCGTTTTTTCCACCTTGATTTTTTTCAAGCCATTTTCCTGGACCGCGACTATGCAGTCTTCAAAGGCCCATAACTTCCTTCAAAATTAATGTGATGAGAAGCGGTAAAGCGTGACGCAGGACTGCTACAACTACCGCGGTATAAAGTTGACTGCGCATACCACTGAGTTGTACAAACGGCTAGACAACTCGAAT